TGGTTTTGTTCGTTATTCAGTGGGACCCGGGAGCTGGGAGCAGCTGCGCTTTGCAGTTGCCTCTCTCAGGATGCATTTGACTCCTAGGTCTAGCCTTGAGCCAGCCAGTCAAAATCTTCCCACGTTCTGGCTTTGGCAATGATGCTGCAGGCTGCCCTGCTTCAAGACCTCCAGAAAGCTTATATGATCAACATGCAAATCCTCTCTGCATTAAGAAAAGGCTGCAGCCTTTCTGGAGATCCTGTTCGTACCGGGATGTGACCAGTAAAAGCTACACAGCAGGGCAGTGGGACACGTTTGGGGTTTTTTTGTTGTTGTTTTGGTTTGGTTTTGTTCCCCCCCCATCCATGCCATGAGTCACCTCCCTTGGACGCTGCCATCGGAGAGAGGGGAAAAGAAGTAAGGCTCTTGAGTTCTGTATTTATTTATTTTTACAAAAGTCTCCGCCTCAATAAAAAGTAGTGAAGTGTTCTTCAGTTGTAACCGTTCTGGTAGAGTATTCACCCTTATGAAATCATAGTGAGGGCTAAAGGCTTTTTCTGTCTATTTGTTAAAAAGAAAAGCCTAAAAAAGGGAGAGAAGCCAGGGGAATTCTTGTGCAGTGTCATCTTAGTCACCATGTTCATGTGACCATTAGAGGGAAGAGGAGAGTTGTGGCAGAAGAGGAAGATAATTCTCCTAAAGAGGATGGAATCAACCACCAGTAAAGCAGTTGAAAAATGGGATTTTGTTGGAGGGCTTCCTGGCACACGGTCGTAGCACAGTTGGATCCTCTTGGCTCACCTGTGAAATTCCTTTTGTGAGGGGGTGGAAAGAGAACAGGAGGAGAACTTTTTCACATACAGCTGTGCTGCAAAAAGCTTAGTACGTAGCAACTTATCTGCATTTTTTGCATAGCAATTCTTAAACATGAGCGTTCGGTTTAGAGGTGGAACAGACCTTGTTTGGGAAAGACTTAATTTCCTCTTTCCATTTCAGGAATATTCTTTGCAAATTCCTCTTCTGGCCCAGTGTCTGGTCTCATCTTAAACAGAGCTCCACCACTTTCTTTGAGAGATTAATCAAGACTGGCTAGCACTTCAGGGCTAAGGAGTCATCCCTGACATTCAGCTTCAATTTTTACCACCTCCATTTTATCCTGCTAATCCTAATTGCATTTTAGTGTTCCACCTTTAGTGCTGTCCAAGTCTGTGTGTACCTGCATGCATGCTGGGGAGACTAATAGCCCCCATATGAAGTACAGATTTCAGAAGGGCTTTTTGCATTCCCTCACTCCTTCACTGCTCTTTGTGTTGCTCTGTAGGATGGCACAGAGCCACAATTCATTGATTTAATTTAGAAGAAAGCAATGTTTCATCAGCCACGGCTCTTGCTCTCTTCTGAGCTGAAGTAGTCGTCACTTAAGAGCTGCTTGGCACATGTTATTGTAACCTGGATGTGTGGCTGTAAGCATAAGTTTTCCTGTGCATCTCCTTTATTTATTTAATTTTTTTTTACTTCCACATTTAAAAGTCAAGAGTTTACCTTTACTTTTCAGAACTGAAAAGTCTCATATCAGTTTCCTTTATTGCTGTGGATACTGCAAGCCAGACCAACTTATGATCCTGGCTTTCATATTAATCATATGCCAGTGCTGTCAGGCCAAACAGTCACAATGGGAAAGCAACTTTTAAGCACATCTTTGTTCCTGTTCTCCTTATATCTTGGCAGACTAAATAGTGAGGATGAACATTTTCAGTGTAAGATCTAATCAAGGCAAATTCTTCTAAAGCAGGATAAGGCGACACAAATACTGTCGTGTTGCTCCCCCTCATCTCATCTTAATTATAGTTAGGAAACTTTTTAAATAAAAGGGGCTCTGGTGAAGGGAACTTTAAAAGTTGTGGATACGGACGGGACTTGGCATCTGCTGCAGTTCAAGCCAAGCTGGGTGATAAATGCTTTCTTGAGGCGGAATGACATCCCTGTTGCAAAGTTTAAAAGAGAGATGAAGATTGTGCCTATCCTTTGTACTGTTTTCCTTTATCTTCCTGCTTATCTTGGGTTGTAGCTCGGGTAATCTCTTTCCTCTCCACCCTTGACTTGATGTAGGAAAACTTGCTTACCCTGCCAAAGGAATAAACCTGCTCGCTGTAATGGCTGCAATGCGGACAGGCTGCGGCTCTCCTTGAGAGCCCTGGAACTTGCTGCTTTGCTTTCAGGGTTGTTTTTTTGCTTTGTTCCCCCCCGCCTCCTCCCTGCTCCCCCTCTTAATGGTTGCAGGAGAGAGCTATCACTGTGTCTGTGATATTTGACCTACACAGTAAAAGTCAAAGGTGCAGATGGGGTGTCTTCCTGTTTATAGCTCAATAGCTCCGGCCGCTTCCTTTCAAACGTGCAAGGCTGAGACGTGAAGGGATTCCCACATTCCTCGCTGTGGGCATGGCTCCTGCTGCGGCGCGGGGCACGGCCGGAGCGGAGAGCTGCGGCCGCCACCAGGCGCAGCGTGACCCAGCACTGTCGTGTTACACCCAGATTAGCAAACCCTGCCTCCTTAGCATGCGCCGTGTTGCAAATGTCGCCGCTTTGGGGACGTGCAGGAGCCAGGATGTTTGCGCGCGGAGGTGCCAGGCCGGGCTGCCGCGAGCCTGGAGATCGCAGCGGTTCCTCCTGGTTGTAGCATGTGACATCGCAGCCCTCTTCAAGGAGGAGCAGCTTCGCTGGAACGAGCACGGTTAAACAGATGGGAAAACAGCAGGAGGAAAGGACCTAGCCCTAAGGAAGCTGTTTTGCATGGGAGTTACTGAGCAGGAATTTTGTACGCTCGTTAGTGACAGAAAGGCAACTTCAAAAGAACACAGAAACAACCAAAAAAAACCCACCACACTTACAGTGGGGAAGGTGTTTTTTGATTTTTTGTTTGTCTTCTGGGTGAATATGACTTTGCCTGACTGCTTTTGCTCTCTAGCTCTCTGAAGAGTAACTGGCCAAGCAATGTTAGCTATGCATCAGCCGGGCTGCCAGAAGGTTAAGCATGCAGGCCCTGCATGTCTGCCTGTGTCTGGGGTGGGGAGGACAGACAGGCACATGCATAACACCGTATCTCACTTTCAAGAGCTCATCACAACTTGGAAAGCAGTTTTTACCTAAAACAGAACTCAGAAGAGCACCTTTGCTTTGCTTGTGCAACTGGGTACTGTGTTTTTGGCTTGCTGTTGTTCCCAGTTGCTTTTCAAGTTCATCTTCAGCCATTGTGCATGGAAGGAAGTCCTTTGAACAAATAGGCTCTTTTTTTTTTTTTTTTTGGTTAATCTTGCATGAATACAGGCAACTGCTCTTAACATTGTTGATATATCATCCATAGCAGGCTCTGGGATTGGTTTATCTGGCATGAGAAGATAGAGCGGTGCCAAAGGGGAAAAAAAAAAAAAAAAAAAGAGCCCCTCCAAAAGACTAAGAAAACGGATAAGAGCCTGGAAGGTGATAAACCACAGTACCTGTAGATTTTTCTGAGGCTTTTGATCAGCTCCTGTTGGTGCTTTGCGTTGTAAGGCTGCCGCAGGGCTAAGGAAGGAGAGTGCACAGCACCTCTGAGACTGCATGAGCCCTCTGACTCCTGCCTGTGCCCTTCATAACCTGGAGAGGGCCAATTCCCCTGAGGTTAAAGCTTCCTTTTGGTCCCAAGCAGCTGTATGATGGGGAAAGAGGTGAAGACAAATGCAGTAGCATTTCTACCTGTCCTGCGAGGTGCACAGAGATGCTCTCTCCTCCTTGAACCCCTGCCCTGGTGTGACAGGCACCTACAGCCGTGTGTCCCCCATCGGCTTCAGGGGAGTCTGACCGCGGGTCAGTTCGGTCCAGTGTCTTATCTCAAAGCATCATGTCCTTGGCATCCAAAACTGAAATTGATTTTATGTCATAACACGCAGGCAGTTATGAGGACTCGCCTAGGTTACAACATTCTCTCGTGTTTGAACATGATAGCAGGCAGTCAAGTTAAGTGACACAGTCCTAAGCTGAGTTGGTGGTGTGACTTCTGGAGGAGAGCAACTAAATGCCATTGACTTTGTTTCCCTTGTGCTGCTTTGAAATTGGTCCTGTGGACAAACTGTCCAATTTTTAACTGTTAGAAGTAAAAATTTCCATTGCACTTAAGAGATGTGGAAAAAAGGGCAGCACATCTGTTTGGAGAGAGGGAAAAACACAGTGAAAAGGTACCACCCGAGCTTTGAGTGCTCAGGAGCAGCACAGGGAGGACACCTTTCCTCTAATTGAGTGGAACTGGAAGAGAGTGTCTTCCTGCAACTGCAAATACAGAAGACTGAGAGGCCTGTGGATCAAATATGGAAACATTCAGGGGATTGCTTCTTGGACCATTTTGTCCCTCCTTTCGCATCCAAGAACCAGAGAGACATGTTAGACTTGTATCAGTCTATCTGCTGCAGTTCAGTAACACAACTGCGTTTATAGAAGTTCCAACCTTTTGAAGATGTGTGCTCTACAGAACCTTCTTGCCCCTTTTCAGTTTCCTTATGTGACAGAAATGGTTGTTTCGTTGGCGTTGGGGGGTTGTAAACATGTTTTGACAGTATGGACTTTTGCAAGTAATACCTGATGCAGCTTAGCGGCATTACCGGATGCATCTTGACCTCAAACTAACAACTTTTAGTTGTGTTTGGACTTTGGGGTGCACCAATATGCTGTATTAAGGATAAGATGGAAAAGGCTGCATGTATTTAGGAAGTGCTGCTGTGGCAGGTTGGTATATACTGATCTACGTGGGGTGCGGTCTGAAATAAGAAGAGGAGAGCAAACTAAAGACTAGACTCGTCTTTGCATGGAGGCTAAGCTTTGGGGGGCATTTCTTCTCTATTAGATGCCACACTGGGCTGTGTCGTGATGGGGGACGCACGCAGTGCGTGTGGGGCCGGGAGGCAGCAGGTATTGGGATTAAAATGTACGTGAACTTCCAAGTCCTGATGAGTGCGTTGAAAGACTGTGGTGCTCCCTCTCCTGCTCAGGCACATGAAGATTCACGAGAAAGACCCGAACAGCACGGCGAGTGCGACTCCCCCGTCTCCTCTGAAGCGACGGCGACTGTCGTCTAAACGGAAACTCAGTCAAGATGCCGAGACAGACAGAGAGGAAAGGACACCTGCAAAAAAGGTTCTGTACAGAGCACGGAGCAAAAGACTTTCCTGCCTGCTGCCTAAACTTTCAGCTCTTGCATTTATGCAGATGGCATGAAAAAAAAGTGGTTGTTACAGACCTGTATATTTCAAGATACCCTTTCTTCCCGTGTAACTAACAGTGTATTCGGAGGTTGAGATCAATTTTATAATTTCAGACCTCAAAAGAATTCCAGCTTTGTAGATTTTGTTCATTTTTTTCTCTTACAATTGCATAGTTAATTTGTATTGCATAGTTAATGTTGGATGATAAGAGGAAGAACTATTCCTTCAGCACTGCAATTTTTCTGTTTTTTTTCCCCATTTAGCTCAAAGCAGTCTTGCAAGATAGTGATTTAAACTTTCAAAAAACAGTGTTTGCTTCAAAAGCAGCAGTGACTGAAGTTTGGGAGTTTTGGTGCAGAAATAACTGAAAAATATTTATTTGAAGAGTAGAAGTTTCCATAGGGTTTTGTTTATGAAATATTGTTGCATTTCTGTCATTTATACAAAATTTATGGCAGCTGCCAAACTTAACTCTACCCTTTCTGCTTACAATCTTTAAATGGTAAAGTATTAGCAACTGAACCTAGTCCAGTATCCCTTGTTTCTGTGCATGTTTTTCTTCCTGTAATCAGAAGAGGGCTACGGGAAATGTGCAGAAGTTCACTGCTTTTCCATGGACTGCTCGAGCTAGTAGTTGGCAGTACCTCAGTGGCATAAATAATTTAGGCTGACAGCCTGCCTGGCTTTCTGAAGGGGCAGGGATGCTAATTTAGTGGCATATAAGCATGCAGGTTTGTAAGTTGTTCGTATCACAGTTTCTTGTTAAAACCGATGTATACATGACTTAGCTAAAAACTTTTGTCTCTTTTGGAGCCTCCTTCTCTGCTGTGCGTGTTCTCAACACTTGCAGTCTCTGTCCCTCGCCTTCTCCCTCTTGCTGAAATGAAGTCATTTCTGGTAGCCTGCAGCAAAGTGTATAGGCCTGCTTCATTTTTAAGAGGGCTCTGAGTGGATTGCACATTTTATTTTATTGCTTAAAATTCGCTTTAGTGAGTTGTATTTATTTTTCTTCTCTCTCTGAAGGTTGTTGAGGACTCTCAATCCGGCGAAGGGGATAGGAAGGCTGAGGAGGAAGTTTATCATTGTCCATTGTGTTTCAAAGATTTTTTCTGCAAGTATGGACTGGAGTCCCACATGGAGACAACACATCCAGATAACTCACTGAGGTAAGAAACTGGCCTGGGAGTGTTTCTGGTCACCAGATGGCCCGAGGGAGCCTACTGAGGAGAAGACACCTCTCAGAACTGCATCCAGATAACTCACTGAGGTAAGAAACAGGCCTGGGAGTATTTCTGGTCACCAGATGGCCCAAAGGAGCCTGCTGAGGAGGGAGAGAGGAGGAGACACCTCTCAGAACTGGTACATGACCCTCTTGCTATTTCAGACCGTTTTCAAGGTGCTTTTGCCTCATCTTGTGTTACTTGGGTGCTTTTAGACCTTATTTTAATACTTTTGCAAGTATAGGAAATCTTGCCAGCCAGTAACTTGGTATGTCTTTGGAAGAAATGAGAGCACTCCTTTCCGTCCCCAAGCACATTCCAGTTGTTACATAAGACTGTATATTTTGGGGGGAAGATCTCAGATAGCCAGCATGCTTAAAACATGAAGAGAATCTTGATTAAAATTATTTGGGTACCAATGTATGTGATTTTCTGGATGGGAAAAAGAAGGCGGATTGGATATAAATGTTTGTCATGGGAGTGAGTGAAGATAAATGAGCTTCTGGTTCCACCCTTGCAGTAAAATGTGTTATGTTTTTCTACCTGTTGAGGTTAAGGAATGTTTTGGATTTTGGCTTAAACCAGTTTCTCTTAACAAGGAAAAATTAGTTATTAATTGTTTGGAAAGGTGCTTAAGTTTTCTGTTTTGGTTCGAGTAATTGCTCCTGGGACTCCTGTTTCTTTTTCATTTCCTGTTTTTCACTATAGGAAAAGGTAGAGTCAGATACATGAAGATACAAACAAGATACCCCAACTCTCATTTGAACATGTAGAAGAGTTGCAATTTAAGACAACTAGTTTATTCATATACACAAGCTTCTTGTCTGTGTTTTATAAGCGCATTTTAGGAGAGGGGTTCAGAATTCAGCATCTTAAAGTGTCAACATGCTGTTCCTGCCTATACTTTCATAGTAGAAAGAGATGGAGAGGAGCTGGAGTTAAACTTTTGTATTAGAGAGCCTTAGAAATGATATGTAAAACCATTCTTTGGGAAAAAAGTTTGTAACTGCTGTAATTATTGGGGGAAGGACTTGGAGAGCTCTTTCCTAAACTTAGTTTAACAAATAGCAGTTAATTAGATGAGATTTGCTGTTTCTGAAGCAAATTTGGTATATTTTCGTTATAGAGCAAAACTGAAAAACTTCAGGTAGATCTCTATAACTCTAGTTAAGGGAGGCTTACCCCTTATTTTTTTTTCCATATAATACACTTGGATAAGTGGGTTGCCATATTCTGTTTAACCTGATGTTAGCCTTGTTTTTGAGCTTTTGTAAAGACTAAATCTCTTTGTGAGCCTGTGGCTCCCTGTAGCTTCACTGCTGCGAAGTTGAGCAGACAGCTGGATTCTCTCGTTTTACATGATGGATAAAGATACCAGAACAGATATCCTTCTTGCTTGGCAGCATTATACTCTGCTGCTGCAAGGCAAGAAGAGATTGCCTGCAGAAGCACACTGTTCCCCTTGCACAACTCTTTATTAGGAGGCTTGCTTTCGGATAACCTTCTCCTGAAATGGATTTTGCTACCCACAGTTGTGTTGAGCAACAAAGACCGAAAAGTGTCTCTAAATCGAGGCCATGATTGTCAGGCTCTGTGGGCATGAGTTAAGGGCGGTGCTGGGATGCTGGGATGTCTTTATGGGCTTGTCTAGACGATGGTGAGGGGGATTTTATCAAATGTTTGCTTTAGCAATTTAAGACATGTCAGTGGAGATAGGGCAAAAAAGGGAGCTTGACAAGAGAACAAGGCTCTCCCTAGACAGCTAACATGTTCATATTCAACTTGCCCTGCCTATCTGGTTTAAAATACACCTTTTGTCCTACACTAGACAAGTCAAATGACACTACCTACTTGGCCCAACCTAGGAGAAAATCCTCTGGTAAGCAGAGGAGTTTGCACCGTTGTTAAGGTGACTGTTTCAACACAAAAGGAGGTAGTAAGTAGAAATCCTTGGCAGCTGGAGACTGTAATTCTTGGTTCGTTTGTAGGATTCAACAAAATAGGCTGAATGCGGTACACCATTCTCAGCTCTAAGTTAATGTGACTTTAACGTAATTGAAATGACTCCTTTTAGTGAGGCTTGTGGGTTTTTTTGAGTGAAAGAAGTGATGGAAAGAGAAAATGTTGCTAGAATATTAGGAGGCATGTATGCATGGGTGTGTTTGTGGTGGGGAGGCAAACTGGAAAATGTTAGAAGGCTTTCATCAAATCCTGATGTTTCCTTATTGTAGAAAAATGAGAAAGAAGAACTTATGTAAGTTTAAAAACAAAGAAAACAAAATTTGTAAGAGTAGAGTGCCTTGATCAGAACTTGTGTATAGCAGGGATCGGGTGTTGTGCATCCCACAGCCAGATGCTCCTGCAGTTGTTTTGCAGCTACCACTTTGGGTGCCCCAGCACAGCTCGTTTTTACTGCGCAAACACAAGGGGTGCTCCATCAGCCCTGGCACGCCGCAGCACAGGGCAGACCCCTGCCTCCCTTGAGCTGCCCCGTATGTTAGGATAGAAATGACTGTGCAGTGCTCAGATGGGTATTGCCGTGATGGCGCTGCTGCCCTCCCTCTGGGGTTACACCCCCAGCCAGCAGCCAAGTGGCAGGGGATGCAGGAGCTTCCCTGCGCTCCCTTAATGCTGCTGCTGTCGCGCTGCTGCGCAAACACAGCTCTCCCGTGCGGAGCGGAGCGGCTGCCTGTCGCGGCCCCGCTCTGCAGAAGCAGACAAGGTAATGCCTGCTGGCCCCAGGATCAGCGGGGGAGCAGCTAATTTCCAGGGCAGGGCCTTTGTCCTCCCAGATAACATCAAATGAGCAACTTTTAAGTCGCGGGGTTAGCTCCTCAGAGCGGGATGAAAAGGCATCCCGCGTCGCCATCCTCCTGAGCGCCTCCTCTCCCGGGGAGGCAGGAGCCCCCATTGTTTACTGGGGGCAGAATAAACAATGCCTAATCCAGTGATTGTACCAGAGAGGGGCTCCCCGCTTGGGAGGGGACCTCTCCATCATGTAAAATCCGAGATCCCGCATCCTTGTCTCTTAATTAGGCTAAGGACTGCCCTTCTCAAGGGAGCAATAATAGGGCCCTTTGTCATGCCAACAATAGGCAATGGCACCGGGGGTCCTTCACAGCATTAACCCCCCGGCCAGGCTCTGTCCCTGTGCAGTCCGGGACCAGCACCGTAACTAGCCACGTTCGCTGTGGGAGGCGGCACCACAGGGCTTCCCGAGCCCTGCGCCTCCCTACCTGGCCTGTGGAGGAGCGCGGCCAGGGCCTCCAGCCACCGTCTATTTTGGTGAGTTTCTATCCGAGCGCTGATATAATTAGCAGAGCCCCGGGAAGGCGGCTGCGCGCGGCCAATAGGGAGAAGGAGAAGCCTCGCGGAGCGGGATAACTTCTCTGGAAAGTTTTGCGGCTCTGGGCTGCTGTCAAACATGGTAATGCGCTTGTAAAGGTCGCCTGACAGACAGCTCTGAGCAACACCAGCAGCCCCGGGAAAGGAGGCGTGAGGATTTCCTGAGGAGAAACCTCCCGAGGCGCTCCATGAGGTTTCTCTTCTTTCCTTTGGCAAGGACAATGGAACAGGCTTAAAGGAAAACGTGTGGCTTTAAAAGAAAGAAAAAAAAAGTTTGTACACCATAAAATTCCTCCATTGGTTTCACTGTAACCAAAGCATACCTTTTATATTTCCTCTCCCCCTCTCCTCCAGAAGGCTTTCTCCAGTACTCCCTGTACCAGTGGCTCAAGGTTTTATTTTTCTCCTTCCCTGCAGCAACAGGGAGACTTTTCTTCTGCTTCTCCTGCCCGTGTATCTTTCTGCAGAGCGGAGGGAGGTGTGGATAACGTTGCGCTTATCACCTTTCTTAGGGATGTGTTTCTGCATCAGTCATCAGCAAGGAAAGCGTGTACAGTTTCAAGCAGAAGTAAAGCCTGCACCTTAGTGAGTGTCCAGAGGGCTTTTTGATCATATTTATTTCACTAGGGCATTGCTTTTAATGACATGATTTGGTTTTGTTAACTGTTTTTTATAGGAGACTAGCAGAGAGAAGAAAAAGGTATTACAGGGTGTGAAAGAGGCTGCCTCATCCCTGAGCTGGCTGAGTAACCAGTGCCAGTAGCTGCCTACTGTCATGAATGGATTCAAGGTGGATGAAGTTTTCCAGCCTTTTACTGAGCGTGTCCAAACAGTGATATAATATATTAAGCTTTGCAACTTGCCAAATCCTGGGCATATTTTCACAAGGACAGCAAAAGCTGTTCTCTCGCCCCAGGATAATGTGCCTCTGTAGAGTTTCAAAACAAAACCAAAAGCCACTCACAGTCTACCTTGTTCTTCAAAACAGCTTACCCAAGTTTTGCTGAAACTTGTAAAGTCAAATTGGCTTGAGGTTGAACGCCACCATGGAAGGCTGTTGTTTTGAACAGCTAAATTGGTAGACACGTAGCAGCAGAAAAATTCAGGTGCTTGAAAGGAAAGTGTCGGGAAGACATCCTGGCTGTTGGTGCTTGTCATCTTCTGCCTCCAGTTTTGCAAGGATAATCACTCTTGTTTCTGAATACCCTGTCTGTTTGGGAAGTGCTGCTCTGAAGCAAAATGGACAATTTTAATGCCCTAAATGAGGGCAAATTGTTTTGCAAGATGCCACGTGCAACTTGCAATTCAGTCAGGTTGGTCAGCGTGCTCCCCACTTTGCCTCCACATCCCCATTCCTCACTGCATGGTGTCAGGAGGTGAGATGCTGGAAGTCATTTGGACCTACATCACAGTATTAGTCACTTTAGCTTATGCACATTTAAGTCTAAAAGTTGAGTCAAAGTAATTCCAGCTACTTCAATATTATCTTTGTTGTCCAGTTACTAGGAAAAAAAAAAAAAAGCCTCTCTGCTCAAAACTCCCCTGAAGTTTCTTTCCTGTTTTTGCTACTGCCTACTTAAGCAACTTCAGGAATTCGCTTT